TATGTTTTCGTCGACAGCAGAGTCAAAACTCCATGAGGGAGGCATTAGGGATCGTTCATCCTAGCGGATGAAATGTTCACCACTGAGCGGTGAATATTTTTTGTTCCCAACACTTGTTGAAAAAATGTAAAGAAAAAAAGTTATTTTTGAAATATGACAGTTTTTCAAATGTTCAAGATCCTGGGTACAAGATATCAAGAAATATCTGTACTCAAGGTCTTGCGTAAGATCTTGGGCAAGATCTCGGTTCCAAGATGTTGGACTAGGGTAGCCATTATGGTCTAACGAGATACTCATTGTAGATTTAGGAGCAAAATAAGAGAGGAAAAGTGGAAGTCTTATCAAGACATTACCGCCAGATAAAATTCGGCTCATCGAGTTTCACTGAAAATTTAGTGACCGCCACCTTCTACACTAGCTAGTAAACCTATCGCATAAAACGTGGAGATCATCGACTATATAAGAGAAATACTCACCATATCTGTTTGCACAGTGGGCGATGAATAGTTTCATTTGGCTTTGTCATATGTAAATAACTAACGATCATTGCTTGTTTTTCAAAGCTAGAGAATAATAAAAGAAAATAAGTGTCGTAAAAGTAGCCAATCGCCGTTTGAAATGCTTCATCAAACGAACGACACGTAGCTGATATATGAGTATTTGTAATTAAATCTAGCCTCCAGTCAGTAAAATGTTTTTCATCTTTCATATGTTGAATCAGATAGACAACCTTGTCTAACATTATATTACGTAATTCTCCATGGCTTTTGTTGCTCGAAAAATACTCTAACAGTTTATTGCGTCTAGTATTGATTTCGTTTTGACGTACTACATCGGATAAACTATAGCGAAGTTTTGATAAACAACGATCTAGTAGATCGTAAAACGGGCAATAAAATAGTTGCTGCTCAATAATAAATTGATAGGAGGGATTCTGAAAGACGTCAAACGAAAGCGTTAATAATTTATCTTGAATGTTTAGATCATTGATCATATCAACATCCCAACCATTGAACAAAACATCATTTTTCATCGTACTGAGCATATTTCGTTGTAGATGAAGAATTAGGCAAATATTTTTAATCATTTTGTTATCGCTGTACTCGTTAGATATATTGATTATGTTATGTTTCAGTAATAGTACATGTCTTTGATCATTCAAGTAATCTACTCGTATTATTAGCAAAGATGCAGCCTCCTTTGTAGAGGATTTCAGGTGTTGTTTTATTCTGTTAATCAACTCTAATTCAGTCTTAAAATTTGCGAACTTTACTTCTTCGATTTGTGTTTTCAAGTCATCTGGATAGTTTATTTTTTCGTATGTTTGTGTGTAAGTGTAGACGATCTGACGACTTTGATTCTTGCAAGAAATGACGCTTTTTTAGCACATCATTAAACGAACTTTTCTTTTTCATGTCGTAAAAAATCCGGATCAGTTGAACGTTTTCTTCGTTTTTGCTATCATTTTTCGACGCTAATAGCAGCGGTAAATCGTATGACGCTGCTCGTAAAAGAGTTGTTTTACACTTGTTAATGATCTCGTTTTCATCCGAAGTGTTTTCGTATGCATCGATCACGAGATTGCAAACATAGTCGCAATTGAAGTTAACGAATAAGTGTGGTAACTCAAGAAAATGTTTTGTAACATTTACGTTTAGTGTTTCTCGTAGTCAAAGCAGTAACTTTTGTGTTGTTGCCCAATGTGTCGAATGCACTATATCTTTAAACTGCACAGTATGTTTCTCGAATCTGTTCAAAAATGGCGGATCAGCTGTCTCAATATCTTTGTTATTCACTAACACGATACAGTAAAATTTGTCATTGACCAAGCATTTTGGAGCATAAAGGGCGCCCAAGGGAATGCGGCAGTATTTCTTTTGACCAGATACAGAGAAACTCTGATTAAATAAATCATACAGTGATGAGTATGATTTGTCCATATTTCTCATTATCAAGGTTAAAGGTTTTTCCGCGTACAGTATAACGTCCATTAGAATACGATAACCGTATGATTCGCTGTCAATATCACCTGATATTTGACTTCCAATAAGTGTACGAACATTGTTGAGTTTTTTAGATAAATAACGTTCAACATAATCGGTGAGGCTGTTTGTTTCTGATATCAACATGAGATATCGGCCACTTCGATCATTCAAACTCTGAGTTAACAGGTCACTAAAATCAGGAGATGGGTAGTGTTCAATCGATTCTTCTTGTTTTGTATACTGACAAAATCTTTCCCACAAGAATACTGATCCGTCTATCACACCGTCAAAATTTATTTTTAATTGTTTTCGAATAATTTTCATCTGTAAGTCTAGCATATTATCATATCTGATATTGGATTCTTGTCGTGCAGTATGATCAAATTCTTTGATGATGCCTTTAATAAGTGAATAAAAATCTCTTAAACCGAAATAATTCTCGTTTTTCTGCAACTTCAATTCGTACGATAATGCAAGATAAGCATTAGCCAAGCTATTCATAACGTCATCGTTCAATTGTATCTGCTGACGTTTGACCAAACTTGTTTGGATCGTTTTTGCAGTTAATTGTAAATCATCTATCGTAGGGTCTGGACATGCCAAATAGAGAGTACGATTCATCTTCGATGCATCCAGACGCCAGTTTGATATGGCAACGAAACCGTATTTACAGTTCCCGATTTCTAATTCGCTGTGTAGCACTTTAAGTGGATTATGAACAGACAATTCAGCTAAGCCAATTTCGTCAAAGATAATTACCGGCAATAGTTTTGCATGAGATTTAGTATCGTTATACTTTTTTGCACGCTCAAAAACTTTCTCGATACTTTCTGATCTGCAGTTTTTGGAACCTTGATAAGCTACAGCGATCAATTCAGGAAGCTCTTGAAAATAGGGATCATTCGACTTTTTTCCTTTCAAACTCGTGATTACAATTTGAACTGAGGATGTCTTGCTGCATCCCGGTTTTCCACAAAGTATAACTGGCAAATAGTTTAATACACATACAAATATAACCAATATATTATCACATAATGCACGATTTAATGCAGTACCAGGAGGTAGTTCCATTCGACGGATTAAGTCATTTTGTTCCGCTTGTAACATATCTTCAATAGCATATTTTTGTATGTCATTAAATTGCATTGGTTTTTTAATCAAATCAATGTATTCGAGTTTTTCTGCTTTCGAACTTAGACGAAAGTAGTAGCATAATAACAATGCTAAGATGGCAGATTTGAATGTGATATCCTTTACTGGTAGTTTGGGTTGTCTGGATGAAACTGATTCATAGAACCAGTTATATAGCAAACGATATCGTGCTACATCTCGAAGACTTACACTACTAATATCTTCTGAGCATCTTAGATATTTTTGAGAGATGCATATAGCATCAACAATCATACGATAGTACGGACTATGTGTGAGTTTATCACATGTCTGAAGAATCGTTTCGATGTATTTTCGTTCTGTTACCTCATCGAGAAATCCATAATCCCAAATGTATTCTATCATTGTTTCTGGAATCGGTTCAACGGTATATAATAAACTTCCACCAATATTTGACTTTAACATTTCATACTGATCTTTTTTTATGCCAATGTTGTCATCAAACCGTATTTTACTCGTTTTTTGGCGTCTTGGATTACAGGCTCCAAGAAAGACCATATTTTCTGGTAATCGTTCACCTAACAATGTTCGTTCACATACTATTTCTTTGATTAAACCAACATTTTTTGTTGTATTGAACTCATCAAAAAATATCCATAAACGTTTGTTCGTTTTAACTAAAGACCGTGCAATTTTTAAACAACTGTTTATTTTGGAAAGGATTTTTGCTCTATTGATACCAGCATGAATATGAAATACTTCCAAGTTATCGTCCAAAACTTTTTCACACAGACAGTTTATAAGCGCAGTTTTGCCGCAACCTGAAAGAAAACCATTTGCTTTTATAAGTGGAGAAAACCGATTCTCATCATTAAACATGAATTTGAAGGTTTTGAAGGTTAAGATAAGTTTCCGTTGACATGTCATTTGTCAGACGGTGTTGTCCGCGAAATAAGAAATAAATTATTCTCGTTCTTTTCAAAATCTTTTTTATGCGAAACTGACCTCGTGAAATTCACGCTTAAAGGAAAAATAATATTGATTAGTTCTAATACTCAAAGTAAACTATGAACTTAAACAAACTGTGATGGATAGTGTGAAGTTGATAAAGTAAAAAAGTCAACGTGGGGAGGATATTAGGTTGCTTAGTGAGCATGAGACACATTCTGCGGTACGTCTGTTCCACGTCCTATGTTTCTGCACCTCTCCACCTACATCAAGAGCAAATTCTTTAATACTTCACACAACTAAGGACAACAAAGTTTCAGAGCTGCAGCCAGATTTAGACTCTTATACTTTTCTCAATAAAGAAATATGCATTAGATAATAGACGCAATTCTTGATTCCAATTGTAACTAGTCTAACCTGTTTCTCCCATTATTAATATCGGCAAACGGGAGCTCACACGCAGCCAGATCAGCAACATTTTGATATAATTATCAGGTGTGATAACATATTCTCGCTCAAGGATATTAGCGATCTCTGTCTGAAATTTTCGAATATCGTTACTGTCAAAGGTTTTTGGTTTAGTTAGACGGTCTTTACATTCTGAACATAAATGCTGTTCGTGCGGAAATTGTCGAAAACACTTTGTGCAGATTGCTTTATTCCAGTACTTTGTTGACAACGATGCAAGCTTATAGAACAATTCAGTATGCGTTAATTCGGTAAAATCTTTAAAAACATCGTTCGTTGCATTTGAGAGCCATGCCGATCTCTTCGACAGTACATTGAAATATTGAATAAGTGATTTGGGCACATCTCTTGGACTTTTATAAACGAATAGAGGATCATTGGTGGATGTGAATACAACTGTGAATGGTTGTGTTTTATCCCAGCGAATTATGGACTCACTTAATACTTTTCCAGGATCATGAATATTATCGCCCGAATTCGATTGTCTTTCGCGCACTGATTTCACAGATAGGGAGGTGAACTGATTAGATGAGGCGATAAATGCTAGTATGATGTCCATGCGCAGTTCTGGATTATCTAACGCATCAACACGAAAGTAGCCACATTTAGAAAATCCATCGAATAAGCTAGAAAATATTAATGTAAAGATGTTCAACTGAGTCCATGTGAGGTATTGTTGATCTTTTTGTTGAATGAAATATTTATTCAAAAGTTCAATGCATCTTCTGGAATCCATCACGTTGCTCTTGTTAACATTTACATCTCGTCGTTTAATTATTTGTGTTTCGACTGCATCAAGATACTTCGTTACAAATTGAATGTCAGGACGAGTATGCAGGAGCTCATTAAAATTAAACTTCGTCAAATTGTAGACTGGTAGGAATCGAAAAATGAAGATAGACTGTTTTAAATTCCAAAACGCTGATGATTCTAATTCGAAAACGAACACAGTTTGCAGCGGAACGTGCACAACTGTTTGCGAAAAGGAACAGCTACGAAATAAGCATAGTGAAAACAAGATTGAATTTAACAAATGAATATTATCGATCGCACCAATGTGAAAATGTATTACCGTTGGTTTGTTGACATATGTTTGGCTGTGAAGGAGCAGCTGTTGGGCAATATCTTCTACAATCAAATCACCAGTGATGGGAAATTTCAGCAACACTTTACTTTCTGTTTTTGCATATTTTTCGACGTGAAAAGATTTACCGAGACCAGTTAGTTTCGAAGAAATCAAATGACAACTTTTTACGCTTATTGGGATGAGTTCTGATAATGCATCTTCGTTCAATAGCTCCGAGTCACGTACTACTTTAGCGATTTCAGTACGCAACAGACCATTGACCAGATGAGTCTGAATATCTGTCGTTACAATTCCGAGCGAGAAGTGACGATGTGGATAATTTTCAACAAACTCATTAATTAAGCGGTAGCACTTATCTTGAATAGTAAACGGCAGTTGTTCTGGTTCTACTAATTCATGTAAAGTTATTGGTGAATAAAAGCAACGATACAAAAAGGTACGTATAAGACAATACTCTAAGGACGTTAGACATACACTAGATTTTTCTCTCTGATTTTCCACTACATCCTACCCAGTGAGCGGTCAACTTTTCAAATAGAAACTTTTTTGTTGAACAGTCGAGTAATACTAACTGTTGACAATTTTTTTAATCTAGTTCAACAATTGCAAAGATCAACTGTCATTTCTACAGTATATTCAGGTTAGTTAAATCAAAAATTCAATTTGTTTTGAAGATCAAGAGTACAAAATCGGCGTCTGTCATCTAACGGATACAGAATGTATCCTCTTAAAATTCCTGGAAAGTATATTGCCTGTGTTAAATTTTGATAAAAATGTAACTAAACATCTACACATGAATCCATATAACTGAGCTTACGTAATCCGAGAGTCGTACCCACATATCTGAGTATGTACTCAAAGATGAAATGATCACTGGTGCCCCGCAGAAAAGAAAAATCGAAAAATTAATTCTTTTGGTCAGCATTTTTATGAGCTGATTTTGATCTGAACCGTAAAGATATGGTATTCTAAGTGAGGGAAAGCACTTTTATACCGGTAAAAAGGAGCGAGGCGGATAAGGTCACTTTTCATCCTACAATATTTCTGAAAAACAAGTTATATATTCGGAATCAACATCAAATTCGGAACAAAATGAGATATTGGATTCACTCGAAAACCCACGTTCTATTTTCGAAAAAATTGAGTGACACATCGTTTTACTCAGAATTCGATGTTCTATCGAACTACCATTTTTCCTGTAAATACGCGATTTCAAGTCAGAAAGTCTTGAAAAATCATGCATCTGTTCTCGTCGTTTTCCCCCTCCGTCCATAGAAAATGAGGCAGCAATACAAAAATTATACGATATATACACTTTTGAATGCTATATCGAATGAGGGTATTTTGAGCAAAAACAAAACTACGCTTTTTTCAAAACACCCGGTTTTTAAGCATAAGGTTCTCTAAAAAAACCTTGGAAAGTCTTCTAAAATCTGTAGTTCGATAGAACATCGAATTCCGAGTAAAACGGTGTGTCACTCAGAACCATTTGGAATGTGATATTCTAACAGCCTACATGTTTATGAGAATATCGAACTGTTTCCGAAGATTACCAGACCCCTCAATGTGGTACAATAATCCGATAACTCAGTTAGATTACTAATAACTTCTTTTTTTTTTTAAACTTTATTTATTTATTGATGAAACAAATAGTTATAACTAAGATAGGTCAAAAGAGAGCAAAGCCCCATTATTATCGTCCTGCCTAGCCAGTAAAACTAATAACTTCTGTACGCAAACCAATTTTTCTCAATCAAGAGTCGATTTTTCCTAGTTTTGGATCCACTATTCGGAATCTGCATTAAATTCTGCTACGACGGATATGTCTTTTATAGCAGTCTAAGACAAAAAATGTTTCGATGTTCCAAAGGAGTCAGGCTAAAATTTTTTCGAAAATAGAACGTCGGTTTTCGAGTGAATCCAATATCTCATTTTGTTCCGAATTTGATGTTGATTCCGAATATATAACTTGTTTTTCAGAAATATTGTAGGATGAAAAGTGACCTTGTCCGCTCCACTCCTTTTTGTAGAAATAGCATCTCCTTTTATAGCAGTTTGTACATTTTTCCGATGATTCAAAGGCTCAAAAACGAAGATAAAATGTGACTTTCTGAAAAACCATCATTATCGACAATGTTTCAGTTCAAGGCTTTAACAATCTTCGAGTCCAGTCCATTGAACTCTGAACTTAATCGATGCGGAGTTCTGATAGTTGTAACGCAATAGAGAAAAATTTCTTGTATTTTAGAACTTTTTTGAATGCCTGGAGGTATTGTAACTATACTCATCTCAGCACCCTCCTCTGACAGACGTCTTTGAAGTTTGTTCTCTATCTCCATCCAGTTAGTTTGTTCTGTACAGAATAGTAGTTGATTTGCATTTAAGTTCATATTACCAGCTTCATGGATACATGACAAGGACAGAATTCCGCGATATAGTCCGTCAACAGAAGTCTCAACAACAAAAAGTTTTTTGTATCTAGCGTCATTAGACGTCACATTTTCAAACACTTCTGACGACTGTGGATGTATTCGTTGACTGGTAAGTATTTTTCCAAGGACTTCAAGACGTTCTTCGGCCGGTAGATTCAAATTTATCGTCGGAATATCTGTTGTTAGTTTCTCCACCCCAATGTATTGCAGTAGATTATAGCCTGGATGATGTTTATTCAAAGTTCTGTAGTTGATTAAGGCTTCCTCCACTCGCCATATCTGTTGTCCGCAAAGGTATGTCAGGTCATGATGTATCTCATAAGAACTGACTAATTTTTGCTCCCATATTGTTAGTATTTCTTGCAAGGATAAAAGAAATTTGTGTAGCTCTGCGAAGTCACATTTATTACATGTGAATATCCGATCTGATTTAGTGTACTGCTCGATATACGGATATCCCATTATATCCAACTCTCGTAAATTTTGTAATGCATTTTCGATCACATCCGTCAACGCTACCAGAGATTTTAACATTTTTTTCTCCGTTTCTTCATCGTATTCTCGTTGTTGTATTCTAATTGCTCTTTTTTCGTTCCCAGAATATTCAATTAATCGTGCACGATCACGTAACTCAGTGAGTTCCACGTACCAGAACTTTTCACCATTTTCAGTTTGTACACAAACATCAAATTTAACTGAATGAGAAAAGTTAATTGTTGAATTATTAATGATATGAAATATTTTGATACGTTTGGATTCTTCCTTATCAGTTAGGTCCAAATACAAACGTTTAATACCAATTAATGAAACAGAACAAGATTCAAAATACTTAACGATATTGGCGAAATCTGGATTTTCCATTAACTTATTCACCTGTTGAAAAAACTCATTGAGTGACTTTTTCGTTGAGGTTGATAATAATGATGATGACGTTTGTTCAGTTGAGCAATACGTCAGCAGTTGACCAAGGAAACTTCCTATTGATTGAAATTCAATTATTGTTTGAGGACTTACAGACGATTCTTCCCATTCAGTAATGGCTTCTAATAAATCGTCAAAATCTGTTCTGTTCAATGTTGCCAGGAACTCGATTAAATGAATGGAAGAGTAGAAATGCGAACTGATATTTAGAACAGGTTTAGGTTGTTTAGAATAACAGACATCTGAAAATTCTTGATAGGCGGCATGACAGGTTTCACATAATGTTTCATCATTGATCGCTAATATTTCGTCAATTGCTACTGGATTAGTGTCTAGATTGCACAATTGTACAATCTTTTGACATCCTCTGCATACATTTTGAATGAACTTTTGATCTCTCCAATACGCCATGACAGATGCTAAACATCGACGTGCTTCATCATCGAGAAAAGGTGTTAATAACTGCATTTCTTCTTCAACTCGGTCGATAACACCAAAGAACCACTTCATCCGGGAGAGTTTAATAGTTTTCCATTGTTTAGAAATCCTTTGTAGTTGTTCTTGAAATAATTTTGTCAGATAATCCATTTTTGTAAGTATATTTGAACATGTATTCATATCGGGTTCTTCTAATTTCAAATCTTCTACTTCATTAGACCCTGGAAATAAAGAAAGCAATCCAGAATATTACTAAAGGAAAAATGCCATCTTTTATCAGTAAAAGAAATGTGTTGTGAGAGTGAGCTGGTTGTTTTGAAATATAGAAAACTAAGTTTTTTGGGTTTGGGTCAGTTGCCAAAGTACATTAATATTCTTCTTTAATGAAACTTAGCAATAGTACCTTACGCTCTTCTGCCATGCTATTCATTTATCTTTTTCTCTTCATCGTCGCTGTTTTCGCTTTTAAAACTTCACTTTTTTCTTTAGTTTTCCCTATTCTTTTACATCATTTTTTATAGTGTACACCGATCATTTGTTAACATATTTGTGGCATGTTATCAGTGCTTATTTTTTTAGTATTTTTCTCTGTTTCAAGGATCAG